TGTGTGTGTGTTGCTCCGCTGAGCCGCAGTGTACGTGTGCCGGGTTGAGGCGCGGTCGAACAGAGACGGACTCGCGGACAGGCGCGGAGGCGCGGTTGCCTGACGGATTCGCGGGCAAGTACGGAGGCACGGTTGTCTTGCGGATTCGCGGGCAAGCACGGAGGCACGGTTGCCTTGCGGATTCGCGGGCAGGTACATAGGTCGGTCAGGAGCTCAGTCGGGAGCGCCCAACTGAGCGGCCCGTACACCGGGAGCGCCCGGCTTGAAGACGGGAGCGCCCGTCTTCCGTACGGCGGAGGGGGTCGGGAGCGCCCGACCCAGAGGCAGGAAAGGGCAGGTAATACCAACCGGGAGCACCCAGCTGGGGAGGCCCGTACCCTGGGAGCGCCCAGAGGAGAACGGGAGCACCCGTTCTCTGTACGGAGGAAGTCGTTGGGAGCGCCTAACGTGGTGAAGCGGTCTCGGAGAGAAGTCGTGTCGGGAACAGGAGTCGGACAAGACTGGTGACTCGAGTCCGAGTCGGCTCGAGTCCCCTATTTATACCCCGAGTGCGGGCGGTGGGGGCTGTCCCACTGCTGGGGCTGCCCCACCGCTCGGCCGCCCCACCGCTCGGGCACAGGAGCGCACGCTGAACATGTGCTTGGTGGCCGCCAGGGCCGTAGCGCTAGTGACGAATACGCGTATCGTCACAATATTGTTTGGCGCTCGCCTTTGTAAATAGTTTCGTAAGTATTAGTAGTAGTATTAGCATTAGGATTAGATTATCGGTGCATTACCATATTTCGGTGACTCGCGCGAAACGCGGGCAGATCGCTCAGATCTCAGATCGATATCGATATTTCCGCGACTAACCAATCGGTGCTGCCCTCGCACACCCTACGAGGGCACCCGCCGAAAAGGACAAACTTCTCGCTCGCGGCACATTACAGGACCGCGAGCACTCACTCACCGTCAAGACGTCGTAAGACACTCATCGCTAAACGGTCTCGGGGTGCACTCTCCCTCGTGCACGCTCGAACCTACGGAAGGCTGACTTCGAGAGTGCGATCTCGCCTGCCTTGCTGCCTTGCCGCTCCGCTTGCTTGTTCTGCTTGCTTCTGCCTGCCTGCTTGCTCTGTCTAGCCCGCTTGCTGCATGTGCCTGCCTAAGGACGGACGAATCCTTCCACGTGACGACGGCCAACCAAAAGGTGAGTCGTTTAACTAATTCGCTTATTTTGCTTAATTTTGCGTCGAGGAGACGACACACACCTCCTCTGGTCCTTCGAACAATCAGAACTTTTGCAAATCCGGGAACGGTCTTACAACTCCCCGAGCATTGGTCCTTCGAGCCGAATTGTCGCGTTAGTGTCTACTGCCGACCTTTCGTTCGTTTGCTAATATTCGCTTAATAGCTTAATCGCGTAATTGCATTAACGATTAATCGGTGTTCGTAATCATACGCCACGATATCTCTCGATCGCAAGACTCGCTTCGCGATGAGAATACACGCGCGGAATCTCGTTGAACGCCATTGTCGTTAATCGCTCTTGTCGTTAATTGCCTCTTAGTCGGAAATAATTAGTAATATAGTAACCGAAGTATTCAGATCTAGAATATTCTCGGACAAGCCATACGTTTCGCATCGCTGTCGGCGGCCTTGGCGTTTGGTCACGAGCCGGCCGCGTGTACACGTTTTTTTTCTACATAGACTCGCGCTCAATAATAACGCGTTACAATATTTCTCGTCGTTGCTGGGTCCGCTTTTGGCACGACTTGAAATACATATTATTCCGATCGTTGGAATTCTCGAGAAAACATTTGCCATCGATCGAGACTATTGTTTGTCGGCACTGGTTCCCGGTATAAAATATCTCAGCACTCTGACGTTCTTCCAAGTTGATTATTTGCAATTATAATCGAGTCAAAAGAAGTTGTCGTAATTAATGCTTGTGTCGTATATGCTGCTCGTGCCGTAACACCGCGCGCAACACATTCTGATCTAATCGTAACGCCATAGATATTGGAGTGCATTTCTCGCCGCAACCGGGTACCGTACCAATCTAATTGACAATTTTGATTATTGTTACAACTATTTTCTTATTTTGTACATCCTCTGCAACCATCCTTGATAGTTATCCTGGGTTTGATTCTGATTTCCTTGCGTTCACGTCGCACTATTCTTGCGTCTATCAAGTCGTCATTTCGGTATCGCGCATTATATTGTATCATAGTTGAAGAATATTCTCTCGTGAATATTCCAGCGAGCCTTTGCGTAGGAATTCGAACCAGGCCATCCGTTACTCGTCATCTTGGCGAGTGGAACGGTTGTTTTGTTTTTCTGGCATTCTTAACTCGAAGCCTATTGTTCTCCGGTATTTGTCGATAGTTTCGGGTGGAGTTGAGTTGTCGATCATTACTTCGAGCTCACGTAAACCCTTAATTGAGCGCGTGTTCCACTTTCCGATTATCATGAGCCGAGGTCACATAACTAAACGCGAGTTGTGTATACAGCGGATGAGGGAGATTCATGAGCTGTCGATGCTCACCGCGGACAATGTCACACAGAGGCCGAATTTCTTCGTTAGATATCCTACCGTGACTAGGTTGATCGATGACTTTGAGACAGCCCACCTCAAGATAATCCAAAACGCCTCAGACAATCTTCACCGCTGAGGACGCGATGCGCTTCGGGGTAATCGGGCATTATGAGAAATTTGTGGGCGCCGACCGAACGACCTCCGCATCCGCTCAGGCTCCGGTCTAAACGTCGTCTATCCGATTGCCCAAAATCTCACTTCCGCAATTCTCGGGAGATCTCGCGCTTGGCCCTAGTTCATCGCGTTATTCAACATTTCCATTCATGAGAACCGGAGTATCTCCTCCATGAAAAAATACCAATATCTGATGGCCTCATTGAAAGGAGAAACGCTTAATGTCGTTAAGAACTTCCCCCTTTCCGCCGATAACTACGCGATAGACTACTATGTGGATTTAATGCTGAACACCAAGCCGTTGAAATCGGAGTCGGCCGCCTCCCTGCGCACACTGTTAGACACATTTACCGAAAATACGCGGGCATTGAACCTGTTGGGGTTTCCTACGGACTCTTGGGACTACCTACTTCTCAAATTCTTGCTGGGAAAATTTGGGAAAACTTTCTCATTCGCTTCGCGAGAAGTTCGAATCCGAGCACCAGGCGGAGGAGATATCTTATAAGTAAACGCAGCTTACTAAATTCCTCTCAAATCATTGCCGGGTCCTCACGTCCGTTTCAAGCCTCTCAAGCACTTCGCAATTGCATACGTCTTCGTAGAAAAATTCCGCGTTAATCTCGTCGTTCGTGACTTATACAACAGACTGTTCTGTCTGTAAAGAGCAACATTACATATCTAAATGTTCTCGGTCTCTCCAACTTACGCCGAAGGAGAGACTTTCTACCGCTCGCGATTTGAAATAATGTTTCAACTGTCTTCGCTCGGGACATGGCTTGAAGAATTGTCCTTCCGCGTGGACATGTCGATCCTGCGGAATGAAGCACCATACGCTCTTGCATTTCGAGTAGAGCTCTAGTTCTTTTCCTACGACCGGACCGGTAACCGCGACTCCTGCCGCCCAGGATACCACGACTGTTCTTAAACCGGAAGATAAACCGCTCGTGATGATGACTAGTCTCGCCAATAGCGTCGTACTATTGTCGAACGTCCGAACAGAGATGATAAATTCACACGGCAACGCGTTCCCTGTATGCGTATTGTTAGATAGCGCGAGCCAGGCCAATTCTGTTACTGAAGGCTGCCTCCGGAAAGGCGGCTTTTGTCGGACCAAGCACAGTGCTACGGTATTCGAGTTGAACGAAACTAAGGCCGCCACCACGAAGGGCCTTACGTCGTTCGTAATTCGTGTACGCGGTTACGACGATATTCGTTTTCCAATCGAGGCCACGGTTCTTCCGCGCATTACATCGCCGTTGCTTAATAGTAAGGTTGCAGTCCAATCGTGGAATCACTTAAAGGGATTGTCGCTCGCGGATCCCGAGTATTATTTACCCGGCAATATTGACATTTTACTGGGAGCAGAATCGTTTGTCTCAGTCTTACGCGATGGTCGTCGTAAAGGAGGGGATAAAGAACCGGACGCTTTCAACACAGTATTTAGCTGGGTCTTAACGGGCGCGGTATCTCCGTCGTTACAAGTAGCACCCCTGCACTCGTTCGTTACCACTCTCGAGTCGATCAAGACCGCAGTGGGTCAATTTTGGCAATTGGAAGAAGTACCAGAACACATTTCTTGTTCGGAAGAAGATCGTCGATGTAAGGAGATCTTCGCAAAGACCACTTATCGTGACCACTTGGGTGGCTTCGTAGTTTCGTACCCCTTTGCGTCAAATCCTCCTACATTCGTCGACTCGCGTTCTATAGCTGTTAGTCGTCTCCGCGTGCTCGAGCGCCGATTCAAATCAAATCCCGAATTTAGAATTAGTTACAATAATTTCATGCAAGACTATCTCGATAGCGGTCATATGGAATTAATTAGTGATCCATTTTTGTCGGATGGTTACATTTATTATTTGAATGATGAGAAGTCAGGGCAGTAGAGTCAGACGCAGATTATTGTGCGTAAAATCAGTAGTAGATTTATTAATCTTCTTCAATACATTATTCCGAGAAAAATCCGGACGTTTTGGTTCTGTTTCGAACCATCTTCAGCAGTAACGAAAAATTTCTGTCACACGCCTTTCACGCCACGAGCGAGTTAACAGATTAGGATGTCAGAACTCATCAGAAATCATTTTTCACCGTTGCTTGTCGCGGCGACAGGAATAGTTTGGTTTCCTCGCATATTATCCATGTTACACGCAACGTCTTGTTCCACGTCTTTCGAGCCATTTGATTTGGATCAAATGGTCCAGAGTTCTGACATCCTAATCGGTTAACTCGCTCGTGGTGTGAAAGCCGTGTGACAGAATTTTTTCGTTACTGCTGAAGATGGTTCGAAACAGAACCGAAACGTCCGGATTTTTCTCGGAATAATGTATTGAAGAGGATTAATAAATCTACTACTGATTTCACGCACAATGATCTGCGTCTGACCCTACTGCCTTGACTTTTCATCATTTGAATTTCGAGAGTCCTTATATCAAATTATATATTATTTGCCTCACCATGGCGTGTACAAGCTAGATAGCACTACCACTAAGTTGCGGGTAGTATTTAACGCCTCGTCGAGGTGCTCAAACGGTCTATCAATAAACGACACATTACTTGAGTCGATCGAGGATCAATCACTTAAAGTCTTAGGCCTTTGTTGGCAATCGCAATCCGATAGCTTCGGATTTCAAATCAATCCTTCGGATCGCAAATGTACTAAACGCACCATATTGTCGGAGGTAGCGCGTATTTTCAACCTCTTAGGATTCCTGGCTCTACTCACGTTTACTGCAAAATGTTTTACAACACTTGTTGGACGCTGAAGTTGGAGTGGGATGACGAGCCTCCAACAGATATCTGTCGCAGTTGGGAACGCTATCGAACTGAGTTCGACGCGTTGGCTTTTTTTCGCGTTCCTCGCACGTTTGATACGCGCGATGTAGTTTGTTGTGAGCATCATGGCTTTTGCGATGCCAGTGAGCTGGGTTACGGAGCCGTAATTTACTTACGCTTTGTTGCGCGAGATGGTGTAGTAATCCGCTTACTCTGCGCTAAATCTAAAGTAGCACCGCTTCGGCCTATTACAATACCTCGTTTGGAGCTCTGTGCAGCTCTCCTTCTCTCAAAGTTGATCGCGTACGTTTGTCAAGTCCTTCAGGGACATCTTAGCATTGATACCGAATATGCCTCGTCAGATTCCAAGGTTGCCCTTGCCTGGATTCGCTCGTCTCCACATCGGTGGAAGACGTTTGTTCGCAACCGCGTTGCTCGCATTCAGGACAACGTACGGGTCTCAGCTTGGGGCCACGTCGATACTGACAATGAGTCCAATCCGGCGGATCATTGCTCCCGTAGACTTTTTTCCGCAATTTAGTGACTAATTTGATTTGGTGGACTGGCCCTGCGTGGCTCATTGACTTTGAACCCACTCTAACAACGATATCGGAATTTGAGGATCTTCCTGATGAGGAAGAGAAATCTCGCGCCTTTGTCACCATAATTCCTGCTGATGTCTTGAACTCTGCTACTATTGTGGATTCACTTTTCGATCGCATTTCTTCGTTAGATAAACTTATTAGAGTATTCGTTTATTGTCTACGCTTCGTTAATAGACTGAAATCGAATTTGCTCGATAGAACTCTCGTTGTAGATCAAATCGAATTTTACTTGACTTTGTTTCTTCTCGTTAAATTCGTTCAATCTTGTTGTTTTGCGGAGGATATCAAAAGATTAAAACGCAATCAGAATTGCTCCAAACCTCTGCAAAAACTCGCCCCCTTCTTGGATACACGCGGAGTCCTCAGGGTGGGCGGTAGACTAACACATTCCGCAATCTTTATTGCTAGGCGCGGCCGTTGCTCGCGGATTTATAGCGACTGCGGCACCAATTTTGTTGGAGCTCAGCGAGAGCTCGTTAATTACATGCAAGTCGCCTCAGAGCGGGAACGAATTCAGTGGTCGTTTAATCTTCCCTCTGCGCCATACTTCGGTGGCCTTTGAGAAGCGGGGGTCAAGTCAATGAAGACCCATCTAAAGCGCGTAGTAGGAGCACAGATTCTTACCGTAGAGGAATTCAGCACTCTGATAACACAGATAGAAGCTATCCTGAACTCCAGGCACTTATGCCCTACTAGCTCCGACCCTAACAACCTCGGGGTACTTTCTCCGGGGCACTCCCTCACCTTGGAACCCCTCGTAGCTGTTCCGTATCCTGACCTGGATCCGGTGCCAATAAGCCGACTTGATTGATGGCAACTGGTTCAGCACATGCACCAGCAGTTTTGGAAGCGTTGGCGGGACGAGTATTTGCACACGCTCCAACAACGCCCTAAATGGTTGAAATCGTCGTCTACGGTACACAAGAACTCGTTAGTCTTGTTAAAGAATGAGAACGCTCCTCCCGTACAGTGAAGACGAGGTCGAATTGTGGCTCTTCACCCGGGTTGTGACGGTGTTTCTCGGGTCGCCACAGTGAGGACAACGGATGACTCTCTCACTCGTCCTCTGATGAAATTGTGTCTTCTGCCAATGGACAATTCACCAGAGGAGTCTAGTCAAGCTTAGAATAAAAATACGTTGTATTTTTAGGTGGTCAGTATTAGTAGTAGTATTAGTATTAGAATTAGATTATCGGTGCATTACCATATTTCGGCGATTCGCGTGAAACGTCGGCAGATCGCTCGGATCTCGGATCGATATCGATATTTCCGCGACTAACCAATCGGTGCTGCTTTCGCACACCCTACGAGGGCACCCGCCGAAAAGGACAAACTGCTCGCTCGCGGCACATTACAGGACCGCGAGCACTCACTCACCGTCAAGACGTCGTAAGACACTCATCGCTAAACGGTCTCGAGGCGCACTCTTCCTTGTGCACGCTCGAACCTACGGAAGGCTGACTCCGAAAGTGCGATCTCGCCTGCCTTGCTGCCTTGCCGCTCCGTCTGCTTGTTCTGCTTGCTTCTGCCTGCCTACTTACTCTGCCTGCTTGCTCTGTCTAGCCCGATTGCTGCATGTGCTTGCCTAAAAACGGATGAATCCCTTCACGTAATGACAACCGACCAAAAGGTGAGTCGCTTAACTAATTCGCTTATTTCGCTTAATTTCGCGTCGAGGAGACGACACACACCTCCTCTGGTCCTTCGAACAATCAAAACCTTTGCAAATTCGGGAACGGTCTTACCATCCCCCGAGTACATGAACTTATATAGTCATATAAGATTATATATGATCAGATCACAATATTGTATCTCAAAGTATTCGATAGATGGCATTCGATGGGATCTATTTCTCGCATTTAAACTTTGACAAACAGTGTTATAAGAACAGTATCAAATTAAGACACGACACTGTCGCGCTATGGAGCGGTACAATTTTTGTATCAGTTGTATCGTGGAGTCCACTCTTATAAAGTGGCACACTCTTACAAAATAACATTTGAAAATAACAATTTTCTGAAACTTATTTAAATATTAAACAGAGATATTGCGAGCGACCCAACTGGCCAAATTTTATTGATTTACAACGCTACGTTTTGACCGTGGATCCGGTCCTTTTCAAGCGATCTCTCACAAATATATTCGTCAGGCATAATGCCCTAACTACGCCGAATCTAATACATTATTTAAATATGTCCTTATATATAATCTTATATAATTGTAAGCGAATGGGTTAAGGAATTTAACGTTCAAAGGTTAATGATCAGCTTAAGTTCAGTTTAAAGAATGTCTATAATTACGATCAATGCTATGTACAAGTATTTACAAAGTTTTTTGGTTTCGCGAACAATAACAATTGCTTTGGCGAAGGCGCGCGAGAAATGCGAGTTACGCGAACCCTTAATGACACGGGCGAGTGCGCGCGGAAACTGCAGTCACTCGAAGCACGAGTTTATTCTCGCGAGCAGCGAAACGCCGGATCTCGAAGTCGACTGAAATTCGTATGTAATACGGAATCGTAATTGCAACACGTTACTTCGGCAGATTTTTATCGAGTGCTCAGTGCCCGCGCGGAGGGCCGGAGCTTTATAAACTCGAGTTTCGGCCCCCCGGCGACGGGCTGAAAATTCGGAGGAGCCAATCGGATGCCGCCACCCCGAAAAAACAGCTGATTTCGAAAATGTGAAACGGATCAGCTGATCTCGGGGCCGGCAACCGATCTGTTGTTTTTGCTGAGTCCCTCGCTCCGCTCTGGCTGTTTACCTCGTGTTCTTAGGCCCCGAGACAAAGGAAGCGAGTCGATACACGTGAACACGAGACTGTTTTTCAGGTTCTCGATATTTCCGAGAACTGACCTTATTTCTAGAATGTTATCGTCGCTTCTCGGTATACTTTAAAGTTCCTTTACTGAACCATTTAGAATTCGCTTAATAAGTTTAATTGTATGATTCACGCTCAATCCCGAACAATAATCATATATGACCATATAAGCTCTTATCAGGCTAAAATTTATATATGAGCATATAAGATCACTTCTTATATAAACATATAAAACATTATAAGAAATCAAAAAATGAAGATTAATCCGTCAATAATAATTTAAAACAGGAAATTTTATTAAAATCGACGCAAATGGCGAATAACAATATCGCTTAATCACGACGTTTCGACCCGGGGAATTAGGTCCTTCTCAAGTGTCTATAAACTGGCATGGAACTATCGCTCCCCCGAAACGTCGTGATTAAGCAATATTGTTACTCGCCGTTTGCGTCAATTTTAATAAAATTTCCTGTTTTAAATTATAAGAGACATTTTTTATATGTCCTTATATCATCTTATACAGGGTGTCCGAAAAATCGCCTACTCCACTTCGGGAGGTGATTCGGGACCCAAAAACAAGAAAAAAAGTTCATACAAACATAGGTCCGGAAATGAGCCGTTTCCAAGTTATAGCCCACTTTTATGTTCAAAAATCGTAAATTTTTATTTTTAATTTTTTTTAATTACAA